TTTTTACAGATCACGGCTTCAACTTCAACTTTTGTATCTATGGCTCCGTCGTTTTGCGCGACGATTTTGCCAACGTCAGGGTTGAAAGACTAATTTATTAAGGACACAGTGCGGTGGTGAGATAAATTGCCGGTTATGAAAATACTTAAGCGGTTATTATGCAAATTGAAGGTTATAATTTTTTTTAAGGCATTAGAAAAATACAATTTGAAGGCACATGTTATTTTCTTTCTTTTGGAAACATTTTATGAAGTGCTATTTATCGTGAAATAAAAAATAAAATCGTTTAGTAAAAGAAAGTTAGGCATTCGTTTGGTAACATCAACTTTTGACCAGTGTCAACATCGAATGTGGAAAATTATCATGGAGGATGGAAAAAGAAATAAAATTGTACGAAAAATATTGGGAGAATGCGGGGAGAATATTTGGAAAAATATTCATTTTTCTAAAAAATTAAGACTCGTTCGAAAATGAGTTTTTCTCCGACTCACAATTAGTTCGGACAGAAAATTATGAAATGAATGTGGTCGAGCAAAGGCTATTCGGAGCTGGCTACAGATTTATGGTATTAAGCTTTAGAAATTTGTATAAAGTGAAGAGTGTGCGTTGGCCAGGGAATAATTGATACTTATTGGGCGAGGAATATTTTCCGGAAGCAAATAGTAAAGTGGGAAGCTTATTCAGATCACGGCTGTATACATAAGAATTTTTTTTTAAATGTCACATGTGCGCTTTCAACTAACGCGGCAGAACATGTAGTAACATTAAAAATACAAAAAAAATCGAAACACAAAGAAAAATTCCTTCGATCAGGCTGGATTTGAAGTAGCTATGAGTGATTGTTACAAAAAAATATATCGAATAAATCGGTAGATGCACTATCCTATATTCGATTTAGTCGTTTTTACCGAAAACGATATTTGATACGATATTTGATCAACAATCAAAAAGTGCAGTGCAATTGATATCCACAATTGAAATATTTCGATTATGTTTATAATGGGAAAATTCGATTATTTTTAGTAACTATCGCCCATCGCTAATTTGAACAAGCACCTTCCAGCAATTCGTACTAGATGCTCAGCCAATTAAGCCATCTAGCATGGATTGCTGGAAGGCGCTGATATGAACCCAGCCGGATAGAAGTAATTTTTCATAGTAAAATAGAATAAAATAAAGTAAAATATCATGACATTCAATGAACTTAAAAATGTAGTGTTATGATCTTAAATCATCTAACAACACATTAATTTTACAAGATTATAATATTGATAATAACAATAATTCCTTTGTTGCCCGTGGTACTACCAGGATAACTACCAGTAGTTACATGGGTAATAATAATCTTCCGTGTAACTACTGACAGGCCTAGACTGACAGGCCTAGAAGTATCACGGGTGATTGTTTTTATCCATGGTACTACCAGTAGTAATACGGGCAATAATACTTTCATATTACTACTACCAAGATAAGAAGCGATTTATTGATTTCATAAAACAAACGAACCGAAAGCCAAACAATACAATAAAAATGCATTTTAACTAGATCTGCGTCGGTCAATCATTTTTGATAACCCGGATCGATCATGATCCATGCCATCACATTAGTGATCCGGTCAAATGATTCAATCATATATTCGATCTTATAGCGGGTCACCCGTCCCTCACGATACTTCCTTAGGCGTTTTAAAGTGTCAAATTGTACAATTAGCTTTTATTCTTTCTTGCTGATGGGTAATGTGTATAAAGTTAAATACATCATTGATAAACCACACCTTAGGAAACTAAAATTTCTTTCTAGGAAAAGTAACACCTAAAAAAACAAAAATACATAACAAAAAACTTAGGAGCATTCGAAATTACTAATTTATTATTCATTAATATTAGCTAGTGCACTCATAAATAAACACAACAATCGAAAAACAGATCAAACTTACAAAATTACCATGTAATGGACACTACGCCACGGAGCAATTAGGATGAATTGATGGACTCATTGATCCGTTAACCCCTTGACTCGTTGATCGATTGCTTGACTTTTTGGTTCGATCGAACGAAGGTTCTATCGAATGAATGCTCTATCTAACAAATATTCGACCCAAACCAAGAGTGAGAAGGCGAACCGTGTCGTGAATGGGGGCTTCACGTGAGAGTGAACGAGACAACAATAATATTGTGAATTGTTGAATAATCACTAAAATTATAGTGATAAAGTGCAATATTGCGCGCATGACCCATTAAACTCTAAAATGATCGGGTTATTTAAAAGCTAGTAACCCGGGTTATCAGGTCATAGGTGGTGTTTGAATCATTTTGATTCGATCGATCACGATCGACACACGTCTAATTTTAACTGTAAATACAAATCAACCTTTATTCTTATTCAACCTTAGAACTAAATCCAAAGTCATGGTACCACGATTTCATTTAACTAAATTATAAATGTAAACAATTATTTTAAGGGGAACTGTACAAGTTTTTACAATAAGATTCCGGAGCATATATTAAGATTATCATTTCTTAAGTTTAAAAACTACATTAAAGATATTCTAATTGAAAAATCATATTACAAAATTGAAGACTATGTGTTATATAAAGATGTATGGAAAGAAGACATGGCTCTAATTCCGGGTGCGTTAACTTAATTCACCTAAATTAGTTCAGCTAAGTGTTTGTAAACTTTTTGTAAACTTAAATCCACACAAATTAAATTCAAAGTATATTCCAAAGCATTTAAGTTTATTTGAAAAGAGCAACCCCTAGAGTTTCTTACTCATTCTTTTCAGGGAAGTCAGCATAGGTAATGTGCAATAGCTTAATGTAGCTTGGATGTATGGGCCATTATGACACTAAGCATCCGTTTTAATGTATGGTTTCTGTCGAAAATGAGTCTTTAAATGCCTTTTACAACCTTCTTTAAAAGTAAAAGCTTTATCACAGTGCTCACATTTGTACGGTTTTTCTGTAGTATGGACCTTTGCATGATGCCTAAGTTCATGGTTTGCTGTAAAACATTTTCTGCAAATATCACACTCATATGGTTTGTTACCAGCATGGGCCATCATATGACATTTAAATTGATATTGTCTTATAAAACTTTTTTTGCAAATTTCACATTCATATGGTTTCTTACCAGTATGGGTAATTACATGACACTGAAGTTGATCTTTTGTTATAAAACGTTCATTGCAGATTGAACACTTGTGTGGTTTCTTACCAGCATGGGTTATAGTGTGAGACTGAAGTTGATATTTTGTTATAAAACTTTTATTGCAGATTTCACACCCATATGGTTTCTCACCAGTGTGGGCCATTATATGATACCTAAGGTCATATTTTCTTAAAAAACATTTATTGCAGATATCACACATGTATGGTTTCTCTCCAGTATGAATCCTTGTATGTAACTCACAATCTGCTTTACGGACAAAAGATTTGTTACAGTGAAGACATTTGTATGGTCGCTCTCCGGTATGGATCATTATATGAAGTTTAAGACCCTGTTTTCTCATAAAACATTCATTACAAATATCGCACTTGTATGGTTTCTCTCCAGTATGAATCTTTAAATGTGTTTCACGATCTGCTCTACGGGCAAACGTTTTGTTGCATATATCACATTTGTATGGCTTCTCTCCTGTATGGGTCATTGCATGACACTTAGCTTGATATTTTCTTACAAAACCTTTATTGCAAATATCACATTTGTATGGTTTCTCTCCTGTATGAGTCAATATATGAGTTTGAAGTACATGTCTGTATACAAAACTTTTATGACAAATATCGCATTTATGCTGTTTCTCTCTTGTACGAGTACTTAACTGTTTATTACAACTTACTTTACAGGTAAAAGATCCGTCATATTGTTCACATTGGTCCAGCTTCTCTCCAGTATGAGTTATTTTATGACGCCTAAGATGGTGTTTATTTGTATAACATTTAGTGCAAATATCACATTTGTATGGTCGAGTATCAACCTTCAATCCGTCAGATGTTGTCTGCTCACATTTTGTTTGAGCTACATCCACAGGCTGCAACACTACAGGACCTACAACCAATTCTTCCTTGATTTCATGACCTACATAAAGATTCCGCTCCTCCTTAATGACTTCTTCGTCATCACTAATTGGCTCTAGTTTAATATGGACATTGTTATGTAAACCCACTGGGCTGTTTTCTGATTCGCTTGCTTCCTCTTTAACCTTCGTATTATATTGTAATTCTGTGCACGACATTATAAGTTGATAATATGCTTGAAGGGAGTCCTCTTAATACTCAACTCACCACCGGAATTATGATTATCTTAGGTACCGACATGACACATCAATCCACAACAAAAAATGTGGATCTTTCTGATTTGTAATTACCATTTAGCACGTTGACCAATAAGTTATATTATTCCCTTTAACTAATGCAGACACTAGGAGCTTGTGCCACTGCGCCAGTGTCGGTGTCAACTTCAGCGTTGCCAATGCCAATTGTTCAAAATCCCCAAAAATCACGGTTAAAATCCCCAAATTTGGGGAGAGCAAAGTTCATATTCCCCACAAATTCCTCACATCTAGTTTTGATCATTTATTACAAATACACCCTTAAAAATATACTAAAGAATTAAGAAACTCAAATGTAACCATCTATTACGTTTGCTGTGAATGTGAACATAATGTAAAATGTAAAGCAAATTATAAAATTAGATAGTCGTGACGCGCGCGATAAAATTGAAATAAACGCGCGCTATTGGCTATCTAAATTAGATCTGATTGGGACAACCAATAGCGCGCGCTATCATGCGTAGCCACGAAACGGGGGGCTGAAATAGTTTATTTATTTTAATGAGATTCAACATTAATCAGTCCTTGAAAAAAAAATTATTTGCCTTATGATAATATGATATGATAATCGTGGGGATTTCAGTTTCCCCACATAGCGCCAATCCCCACGAAATCCCCAATCGAGTTGAAATTCTCCGCAATTTTGGTGAATTCCCCACAAATTGGTAACGCTGCGTGTGTGAGACTATAGAGACTATAGTCTCAAACACATAGACGCTGCAAGTACAGCAATTTCCTTTTCTTGCAAAATTAAGTATATTTGTTGCGCATTTGGTCACACCATAGTTAATGTTAGAAAAAATCGACGAGTAAATTAAGTTTCAACTTATATTTAATATTTAAAGTTGACGAGTGCCGAGTGATAAGTTGTGTGGAAGTAATAACAACTGCTCGGCCTTGTTTATCAATAGCTGATTTCGTTTTTCTTCGTACCGGGGACCGGCCTAAGTGGGAGAAAGGATCGCGAACCCAATACGCACCGACTGGTAATTTTACAATTAAAAACCAAGTGCTCTGATAATAATTCTATTTAAGCTGAATGCGAGGGATACGCGATGTTGAAAAACACGTCGATATAGTTCATCACAGTGTTTCTAGCAATAACGATCTGACTAGCGATGCATCAGCAATCGATAGATTAAAAAAATAATAAAATGTTAGAATCCCCCACAAATTGTCAACGCTGCGGTCAGTCAGCTTTTGGCAGCAGTGTTACCAAATTTTTGCGAAATTAATTCGCCAATTTATGGGTTCTATATAGCGTCTATTCGCCACGCTTACGTAAAAATAATCAACCCAAATGAATTGTTTTGCAACTCCATTCCTCACAAAATCCCTAATCAAGTTTGTAATTACCCAGACATTTTATTAAGTAGCCTAAAATAGACTTTTCCTTTTTCAAAAATAGCCTAAATATCGCCGAGTTGCCGCCTATTTAATCGCCGCGCGACCCCTCGGAGTAGTCTAAAGGGCGAAAAATCGTCTAATCTGGCACCAGTGTTTGGCAGTGTTCCCAACTAGACTAAAGCAAATGTCGCTAGACAGAAGGCAGAATTCGCTAATTGTCGCTAAAACTATAATTCCACACCATATGAAAATTCTACTCATGGTGCTCATCATAAAGTTCTTTTCATTAGCAATAACTTTATGGTCATGTCACAGATAAGAGACCAGGCCAATATTCTCTCTATCAACCTATTGATTATACGGGTATATACGATAATAGTGCTATAACCTATGCAAGCAAGCCCGTGGAGGGACCTTAAAAGGTCAGGTCCTGAACCCAGATCAGCCCGTGGACAGGGTGATCAGACAGTTGTCACGGACTTCATCCGGATATTTGGACGCTCAGTTCCCGTTATGCATTGCACAATTAACAGTTGCCACCGTTAAGCCGTTGAATCTAAATTTACCTAACTACCAACTCTCCTCTCTGGTGATGGAGCTGTAGGCACTCTCACTTCCCGACGCCGCGCGCCGAAGGGTCTCTCCAGTTCCCATTACTCCTACCTAGCTGGATAGACCGGAGGTTATCCGGGTAACTAGTAGAGGAGCTTATCCCGACTAGCACACCGGAGATATCAATCGCAGTGCCCAGCGACAGTGTCCGGACATAGTTTACAACTTAAAGACCAATTCAATCCTACCATTGAGTAGAAAATATAATTATGAGATAAGATGAAATCATATTAAATGTTATTAAACGAAATCTAATTAAACAGGCGCTAAATTTTTATTGTCGTTAAATAGTAACAAAATGTCGCTTTTGTTGTCAAAATGTCGCTTAATCTAGCGACAAACTCGCTAAGTTGGCAACACTGGTTTTTGGTTGAAATATGGGGGCATTACAGGGTAGTATTCTAGAACTCTCAAGTCAGGATTTGAGCAGTCTTGAGTATGATTTCAAGCACTGGAAATACGACTCTGATGGCAGGGACTTGAGTATGATTTCGAGTGCTTTAAACCATACTCAAATCCTGACTTGAGCATTGAGTAGAGTTCTAGAATACGACCCTTATTCACTATCCAGCATTGTAACTAGAGATGGGAAAAACTGTTATTTTTTAAACGTTGAAACAAGAAAAAAAAAACACGACATAGTGCTAACTTCAATGTATGGACAGTGTATGTACAAACAAGACGATTAGATGGCTTGCAATATCTTAAGACCTTACCTCTGGAATCTGGATATTTTTTATGGTGCCATGTAAAAAAATTATGAAGTACCTACAAAGTTTTATGAGACTGTAGAAGAATTAAGTCATACATAAAGGCGTCACACACGTCAGACACGTCTGTTGCCTGCAGAAGTTTGAGAACATATGCCATGCCGTGCGACTCGCTTGTTGCTGAATGTGTGCGTTATGTGTGCGTTATATTGCACAGTGTTGCTCCACAAAAGGTAACTGCGGTGTAAATGCACCTTAAGATACAAAATGTTATTTTAGCATCCACCACAACACTTTGCTTGCAGAAGGCTACACGCAGTGACTCTGTAAAGACTAATCTAATAATCTATGTATGGAATAATAATATGAAAAGTCGAATACATTACAGCTCTACGAACTGATGCGTGTATATCACTGCGCCTATAGTATATTGTGATAGTTTGCAAAAGATTATAATTTGTAGTGATTAATACCTATATGTAACTATATTTCACGTTAAGTACCTAGTAGATATTATTATATTAAAATTAGATATCATGGAAATCTTTAATTGATCCTACCTATTAGTAGAATTTTTATTCTAACAAGAGCTTATTTTTGCATTTCTATAATTTGATTCCCGGCTCAGGCAAACATTTAAAAAGATCTGTAAATGCAGTGTATTAGGGCGTAACAAATAGTTTTATCAAAACAACTAAAAATTGCAGTACCCATCAATTTTTATTGATACCTACTGCAAATTTTAGTTCTTTTATAAATTGAATTAGTCTAAGATAGGTAATTTAATTTTACAACAAATTTTCTTGTTCAATACCTATATCGAATACCTAACAAATGCTCATACTTACTGTGTTTTTATTATGGGTACTACAGTAACTTTACGTACACATAAATCGACTCATCCGTAGAGCAAAGACCTATGTGCAAGATGCTGCTTGTTCTCGGGACATTGTACATTTCGTTCGTTGTTCTTGACTGCGGATAACCACAGTCAGCATCGACTGTAGTTCCATTTAATATTTCCGAAACGAAATAATAAATACATAGAAAATCTGAAAACACCTTTTGAATAACGAGATTATGTTTTAATCTCTTTTCGCTGTATAATCACATCGCATTTTGTTCTTCGGACAAGAAATATTCGAAATTAATAAGGGATATAAAATATGTAAGTTGGAATCATTTTTGTGACAAATATATTCGTTGATTAATTTCCTATGTTACTTTTTTACACGAAAATTGTTCAATGTCAACCTTGATTTGTGTTTTTAGGCTCTCCTGTAAAATTTTGTCTAAAGCACTTACTAGGTTTTACTAAGGTTTTACTCTGATTTTCACCGTCTTATTATATTTACTCTAGGTATACAAATATTATATACACAATAATTATGTTATATTTAACAGTTACTTACACATTCACTAGTTGTTAGGTAATGACTAGAATTTACACAGTAATACCTCAATCATTTTCAGGTAAGTTTTTTGTACTCAATTTTGGTGACAAATTTTATTATTTAATTACTCGAATATTATGTATATCATTGTGAAATATTAAAGAATATTTCAGGTTACCATACTCGATTAATAAACAATACTTCATGATGATATTCTATAAATATTTAAATAAAAATAAATTGTCACCAAAATTGAGTACAAAAAACTTACCTCACATATGATAATAATAAATAAATAAATAATTAACAACTAATAAATAAATAACTTAACGCAGATGTACGCTTACACACCCATGCGTACACGTTTACACACACACCTACACACTTACACGAATCTACACACGTGTACTTTGTTGCCTTTATAAAAGCATGTATTTAAACGATCATTTTAAATTTGCAAAATCGGTCATCTTTTTCTTTTTAATGATTGACCCTCTTTCTCTGAAACACAAAATAAATTAAGTCGACGGGTATTTTAATCTGTTCGAGCTACGCAAAAATGTTTGATATTGACCAAAAAGGTTTGATATAAATTAACTTTGAAACTAAGACAAATGAGCATTAAAAATAAAGTTAGATACTTATTTTTAAAACTGACTAAATGTTATTCAAATTTGTAAACTAATATTGTATTAATTATAATATGATTTGACATGAGAATATGTTCGGAAAAGTAAGCAAATTAGCGGCTTCTGGCACTCGCCGGCCGCTGTTGCGAGTTTGCGACACGCTCACTTCTACTAATCTAAGCTACTGAATGGGGGCGCAACCAAGCAACCAAGGTTTATAAGGTGATCAATATTAAAAGATATACTGGTTATAAGCTTACACATAATAATAGTGTTACCTTGAATGCAGTTCATTTATAATTTATCTGTAGGTTAACTAGTATAGAAGGAACAATAATTATATATCAAACATAAAAATATTGTTTATTGAAAAAAGTGCACATTTACAATGGAGCAATTATTTCTTTGAATAGTCCCTTATAAAAGTTTAAAATATTTATATTACCATCTGTCAAATTTGGTGTAAACTTAATAGCAATATGTTCAAGTTGGGGAGCCTGGAAGCCTCAGACACAGATCTCTTGATCTAGTTTAGATTCCAGTCTCCTCCAGATTTTGTCCTTTATTGAATATAACCTGATTCTAAAACAAATACTTTGTAACCAACATTTGGAGAAATAAATGTCTTATTATAATTTATTCTTATTATCAATTTTAATAATAATAATAATGCACACACTCAAAATAGCCCCGCATTAGGGAAACCCTGTGGGGTGGGTGCCATGGACACACGCGTAGACAACCACAAATTACACCCAAATATATCATGCAAAATTATGACAGAAATATGTATAGAATTGTTACGAAAGGCATACTATGTTTCTGAGAGTCCATTATGAACTCTACAAAACACATGACAGACAATATATATGGTTTTTCAAAGTGACTGCTTGTTTGTTTCTCACGTCACATGGTTCCATTAATAAAAACAAATATACCCAAACACACATTTAATTCTACTTTCTACTTAGTAGGTGCCACAATGACACTTAAATACCTGTTTTAATGTGTGATTTCTCTCGAGTGTGAACTTTAAATGCCTTTTACGCCTTTTACAAGTTGCTTTAGAAGTAAAAACTTTATTACAGTGCTCACATTTGTAAGGTTTCTAAGTAGTATGGACCCTTACATGATACTTAACTTGTTGTTTAGCTGTAAAACACTTTTTGCAAACATATGTGATGTTTGCAAAAAATGCACATGGTTTATTCCCAGAATGGGCCATTATATGCAACTTAAATTGATTTTGTCTTATAAAACATTTACTGCACATTACACACTCGTATGGTTTCTTACCAGTATGGGCCACTACATGACACTGACATTGATCTTTTGTTATAAAACAGGCATTGCAGAGTAAACACTTCTGTGGTTTCGTACCAGTATGGGATATTGTATGATACTGAAGTTGATATTTTGTTATAAAAAGCTTATTTAAAGATTTCACTTGTATGGTTTCTTATGAGGATTGGCCATTATATGACACTGAAGTTGATATTTTGTTACAAAACCTTTACAGCAGACTTCACACTTATACGGTTTCTTACCAGTATGACCCATTATATGACACTTAAGTTCATATTTTCTTACGAAACATTTATTGCAGATATCACACATGTACGGTTTCTCTCCAGTGTGAGTCTTCGAATGTGTTTCACAATCTGCTCTACGGACAAAAGATTTGTCACAGTGATCACATTTGTATGGTTTCTCTCCTGTATGAGTCAATATATGAATTCGAAGTACATTTCTTTGTATAAAACTTTTATTGCAAATATCACACTTGTGTGGTTTCTCTCCAGAATGAGCCATTTTATGACACTTGACAAGATATTTTGTTACGAAACCTTTATTGCAAATATCACATTTGTATGGTTTCTCTCCTGTATGAGACAATATATGAGTTTTAAGACCATGTTGTTGTGTAAAATATTTATTGCAAATATTGCACTTGTATGGTTTCTCTCCAGTATGGGTTTTAAAATGTGTTTCACAATGTGCTTTACGGATAAAAGATTTGTTGCATATATCACATTTGTATGGCTTCTCTCCTGTATGGACCATTGTATGACTCTTAGCCTGATGTTTTCTTACAAAACCTTTATTGCAAATATCACATTTGTATGGTTTCTCTCCAGTATGAGTCAATATATGAGTTTTAAGTGTGTATGCGTTTGAAAACCATTTATGGCAAATATCACATTTCTGCGGTTTTTTGCCTGTATGAGTCCTTAAATGTTTATTATAACTTGCTTTACAGGTAAAAGATTCGTTACATTGTTCACTTTGGTTTGGCTTTTCTTCAGAGTGAGTTATTTTATGACACTTAAGATCGTGTTCACTAATATAATATTTAGTGCAAATATCACATTTGTATGGTCGAGCATCTACATTCAATCCATCAGATGTATTCTGCACACATCTTTCTTGAACTAAATCAACAGGCTGCAACACCACGGGTCCTACGACCAATTCTTCCTTAATTTCATGATTCGCATACAGATCCAGCTCCTCCGCAATGTGCTCTTTGGCATCATTAAGTGGCTCTAGTTTAATGTGGACATTGGTATGTAAATCCACTAGGCTGTTTTCTGATTCGATTGCCTCTTCCTTAACTTTCATATTATCTTGTAAGTCTGTGTTCGACATTGCCAGTTGATAATGTGCTCGAAGGGAGTTCCTATCCGCTATGTCTTTCTAATTTGTGGTCCTTATATTACTCACCAATACATCGTGATTATTGTTATATTTCGTTCCGTCCAACCCACCCACTTATTTAACTTTTGACAGCTCGAATTCTAGTCTAGTAACCAAAAATTTTGATGTTCCCTGTGAACAGTGTTGCCAGATTTTTGTGAAGTTAATTCGCCAATTTATGTATGTTAGTAGCA